AGATTGAATCCAGGGCCACGTGCATACTAAGCAGACACTACCCCTGAAGTACACTCTTGACTCCTCTGTGCCTTACTTTTTTTTTTTTTTTTTTTTCCTTTTTTTGATACAAGGTCTCACTGTGTAATCAGACTGGCCTGGAGCTCACAATCCTCCTGCTCAGCCTCCCAAGTACTAGCTGTGTACCTGATACTTTTTTTGGTTCTTTGAGACAGGGTCTCACTATGCAGTTCAAGCTGGCCTTGAGCTCACTGTATAACCCAAGCTGGCCTCAAACTCATGGCGATCCTCCTGCCTCAGCCTCCAGAGTGCTGGGATCATAGGTGCACCGCACCCGACCCCGACCCCTGCTTTGAACTCACTGTGTTGCCCAGCCTGGCCTCAAGCTCTCAGTCCTCCTGCTTCAGCCTCCCTGCTGGGATTCTGGGCCTGTAGTCCACACCCAACACATGAAGGGCTTCTGAAGATACACAGTGGATTCAGGCTAACAAGTAGTAAGTAAATAAGAGTAGGAGCAGCCTCGGAACTTGGTGATGGAGGGTCTGTTGTACCCCACTCTTGAAGATGAGGGACTCATTTTAGAGGAATTAAGCTACAGTGGGTATGGAACAGGGGAAGAGCTAGAGCATATCTGCATTCCTGTCACGGTGTTTGGACAAGGTGCTGCTCACACTTGCCTTTTCTCTTACTTCTCTCTGTAGATGGCCGTCCTGCTCCCCCAATGAAAGGCCAGCTTCAAAGAAAAGCTCAAAGGGAGAAGTTCGCAGTGAGTGGCTAGAGCTCCAGCAGGGCTGTGTGTGTACAACTGGAGGGATACTTGTAGATAAAAATTTGTCTTAGATATGGTGGTGCAGGCTTGTAATTCCAGCACTCAGAAGGCTGAGGCAGGAGAATTGCTACAAATTAGTGAGTTCAGAGTCAACCCAAACTACCTAGTAAGACCCTGTCTCAAAAAAATCATGGGTGTGGTGGCACACTCCTGTAATTCCAGCACTGAGGAAGTTGAGACAGGAGGATTGCCACGAGTTCAAGACCAGCCTGGACTACACAGCAAGAGCCTGTCTCAAAAAACTTTGTTGTTGTTGTTGTTGTTTTTTGTCTTTTTGAGACAGGATCTCAGTGTGCAGTTCAGGCTGGCCTTGAGCTCACTTTGTAGCCCAGGCTGGTCTCGAACTCACAACAATCCTCCTGCCTCAGCCTCCTGAGTGCTGGGATTACAGGAGTGTGCCACCACACCCAGCTCAAAAACGTTAAAAAAAAAAAAAGTTGTCTTGAGCTATGTTACACCTAAGCTAATGTGTATGCTACATACCATTTAACAACTAAACGTTCTTGTTTTTTGGTATCGGGAATCAAACTCACAACCTCGCACTTGCCAAGCAGGCCCTGTGCTAACGAGCTTTATCCCCGGCTCAAGTAAACATTTTAGCATGTGAGAAGGGAGGAACCTAGCAGTGGGCACGCTGCCTCACATTTTCTTCCCTCTGCTTCCCAGCACAGGACTTGGTGCCACTCGTTCCCAAGTGAGCAGTGTTAATTTCTAGCTGAAACTTGGGATCTTATGAAAGAAAGGATGTGTGGTGTAGTGCTCATGCTCCAGAGACTATCCATGTTTTTCCTGTCTGTTTCAGAGACGAGTTGTACTGCTGTCACAGGAAATGGATGCTGGGTTACAGGCATGGCAGCTCAGGCAGCAGGAGAAGTTGCAGGAGGAACAACGGAAACAGAAAAACGCTCTTAAGCCCAAAGGGACCTTGCTGCACAACCCACTCCCAAGTCAATAAAGAGGGACTCCTGTCCCCTTCCCTAGCCTCTAGCTTTCTTTTCCATCACCTGGATGTCTCATCTCAGCTGGAAGACTGTGTGCCCCCCTCCCATTTATCTTTGGAGCAAAAGAGCTGGCACACCAGGAAGAACAGGCTGTGAGGTCATTGTCTGGGAGGCGGGGCGCAGTGCCCTGATCCCTGGCTCACACACACCACACCACACCCTCCCCCCTCCATTCTTCTGAATGTTGCTCTGGGGCTTTTACCCCTCCTTTGCCAGCCACAGGACTGGCCTAACTTAGGAGCAACAGCTGCTCTGTGAACACGAAAAGTGGGCAGTGGTTTTCCTGGCTTTAGCCTGCACTCAAGCATGGCTATGCACAGCTCAACTGCATGCTGTTGCTCTTTCACTAATGCTTGGAAAAGATAGTTAAATAAATGCAAGCAGTGATGAAAAAGGCTTTCTAGCTGAGTTCTCTTCCTTAGAAAATAGCTGGTGTCAGGCTCCCTAAAGTTACGGAGCTCCAGGGAGATACCCCACTGCAAGGCTGGCAGGGGAAGAACCGATCTTGGGCGTTGGATCCTGAGACCTACAGCGGTTTGGAATGAGTTCCAGGGTTTGGTTGAAGGGTCTGCACCTCCTCACCCCTACACAGGGGCTCAGCCCCAGACAGTCACTATGGAATCTGTCTAATTCCCACTGCCTACCACCTGCAGACTCACAGCTGCCCGGGACATGGGAAGCCTATTGTTTTATTGATCATGTCCCCTCTGGATTCCAAGGTGAAGGACTTCTGTCCCCCTTCCAGGACAGAGCACTAGATAACCATCTTTCTGCCACAAATGTGACAGTTCTTCGATCCCTAGCATTTCCTACCTGACCTCATTTTTATCCACCCACTCCGCTTTATCTTTTCTTTGCTTTTTTTCCCTCCCTTCCCCCCACTACGTCCTTCCTCTCGCTGACCAAATGCAATTCTTGGAGCTTAGATTTCGCTGATGGTCGAGTTTTCCGTCTCCCACACTTTTCCTGCTTCTGTTGTGCTGCTTTTCCAGATCTAGTTCTCAGCCTCTTATCTGTCTCCCTTTCTCACCAACAGCTTTAGGCTGCCCTCCCCCTTCCCTGCATGCCTCATCTTTTATTCTGAGCCCAGTCACTCCTTGATTTTACTCTTTCTTTTCCTGCCCCCCCAACAAGATAGCAATAATTTTTATTTTAATGGGTCCTGTCAAGCAGCAGTCTAAAGTGGTTATGCCTGTTTGCACTTGTCAACATGAATACAGAGAATGTGGATGGGGAAAAAAAGAAGCGAAGCTTGCTTGGAGGGGGAGTAGGGTTGAAGGGAAGGGAGGGAAATGGGAAAGGAAAAGAATTACTGAGGCAAGAGGATCACCATGAGTTCAAGGCCAGTCTGGACTACATATCAAGACCCTGTCTCAAAAAAAAAAAAAAAAGAATTAAGATATATACAGGAACAAATTCCCTATGATAAATGGGATCAACATGTATAATAAATGTGTATTAATAAAAATTTTTTAGCCAGGCATGGTGGCACCGCCTATAATCTCAGCACTCAGGAGGCTGAGGCAGGAGGATCACTGGGAGTTTGAGGTCAGCCTGGGCTACCAAGTGAGCTCAAGTCCAGCCTTAACTGCATACCAAGACCCTGTCTCAAAAAGACCAAAAAAAAAAAAATCATGAGTACCCATTTCCCCACACCCTTGAATGTATGTGTTGGAAATATATGTGCCTGTCATGTCAAGGAGCAAAGTAACTTGCACAGAAATCTATAATTTAAATGCAAACTTAGTCTTTTTATAGTATTTAGATTGTGCTTGCTCGATTAGAACTCTCAGGATCAAGTCCAAATCCTTTGAAATGCTATATCAGGCCCTCTCTCAGCTATGGGCACAGGCCCTATCACCCCATGAGTTCAATGCTTTAGTCATAAAAATGGCCTGGCAGTCATCTGAACAGGTCAAGAACAGTCACACCGTGTGACCATTACCTCCATTTAAACGCACACCCTGGGGTACTTGTGCCCCCCTTTTCTACAGTAATACAGCATCCATGTTTCTAGCTGCATCCTGGGAATGGAGACTTCCCCAACCTCTCTTGCAGCTAGAACTCATAGCCAGTGAGCTAAGAATGAAAATGATTCATACATCCTTCTGGATTGCCCCTGTAAAGAGAAGGCCACATTTTTTTTCAGACCGGGTCTCACTATGTAATTCTGGCTGGCCCTGAACTCACTGTAGCCCAGGCTGGCCCAGATCTTGCAGTGATCCTCCCAAATATGCCGCCTGGCGTTACAAGCAGGCACCACCACGCCTGACTCACTGTATTTATTCAGTTATGTGTTTTTCTCTTCTATATAAGTGTCTTGAGGACAGCAGCATACCTTAATAAGTACGTAGCATAAATTTAATAAATATTTGTTGAAGCCAGGCATAGTGGTGCACGCCTGTAATCCCTGCCCTGGAGAGGCTGAGGCAGGAGGATCAATTCTAGTTCCAGGCCAGCCTGGGCTACATAGTGAGATCCTGTCTCAAAAATAAGTGATGTATAACCATACTCAGCTGATAATAGAGCAAATGGATGAATAATAATGAGTTAGGCAAGGTTTCTGTATGAGTGCTGTATGAGTTAGGCTAGGTTTCTCTAACCTTGAAAACACGTAATTCATGCTCTAGCATGTTTAATGAACTGAAAACACAAAGTTGGTCAGAGGAAGGCAGAGGAACTTTGCTTGTAAGAATAGAACTATGGGGCTCCATAATCATCTGACATCCGCTGGATATTGTATCTGTGGTTACAAATGTACGTGATAGGAATTCTAGGGACCTTCTGCCACAGTGTAACACTTGTGCTGAGTTTCTCTGCACTAAGCAGTCATCCGCATAGGTCCCCATATGTGTACAAGGTAATCTTTCACATTACCTTGCAGTGATCCTCCCAAATACGCCTCCTGTCATTCCAAGCAGGCACCACCATGCCTGACTTACTGTATTTATTCAGTTACGTGTTTTTCTCTCCTATGTAAGTGTCTTGAGGACAGCAGCATACCTTAGTAAGTACCGAGTGGGATGGCCCAGATCTTACAGTGGTCCTCCCAAGTATGCCTCCTGGCATTACAAGCAGGCATTCCCAGGATACATATTTGGGAAGTCTCCATTCCCAGGATGCATATTTGGGAGGATCACTGCAAGATCTAGGCGATCCTTAGAGCCACTTGGTACTTCTGTCCCAATTTCTCAACTTCAGCCATTACACAATCAGTTACACAAGGGATACATTTGGCATACAGACAGTCTATCATCGATTGTACTAAGTCCAGTTTGGCTTTCATGGAAAAGTTGATAAATTTGGTATCAGGATATGATAAGGTAGGCCCAACTGGGTAATACATTGGCAGAATAAGCAGGAAGGATGTTGGGAGCCTTCCTTTCCTTCAGAGCACTGGGATCTTTCTTTTCTTCCTTTTTAGGTTTTCATCCATGCTCTCTTTGAGTCTCATCTCTGAGACTAAGCACTCAATTCATGGCTGAATACTTTCTTGCTTTCTTTTGTTTCCCCATGTTCACACCATACTCCTGTTTCTTCTAGAGTTGAAGATTTTACTTTTTAAAGAATTGCCTCCTTTTCCTGCATATCTCACCTTTAGTTGTCAGAGTCCAATTCGTCCTTGAAGATTTTACTCTCTAAGTCATTGCCAGTGGGTGTGGTGGCACAAGCCTGTAATCCCAGCGCTGGAGAGGCTGAGGCAGGAGGATCACTGTGAGTTTGAGGCCAGCAGGAGCTACACAGTGAATTCAAGGCCAGCCTGGACTACACACTGAGACCCTGTCTCAAAAGGCAGGGGTGAGGGGCTGGGGATTTAGCTCAGCGGCAAAAGCGCCTGCCTGGCAAGTGCAACGTCGTGAGTTCGGTTTCCGGTACCGGAGAAAAACCAAAAAACAAAAAACAAAAAAAAACAATAACAACAACAAAAAAGGCAGGGGTGAGGATTTAGCTCAGTGGCGCAGCTTCTGCCTGGCAAGCGTGAGGTCCTGAGTTTGATTCCTGGTATCTCCCGCAAAAGGAATTGCCTCCTTCTCCAGTGAAGAGGCTGAACTAAACGTCAAAGTCCTAACCTCCAATCCCATCCTCTTTTCCAACGATTTCACTAAACTTAATTTGCTTTCCTCCAGATTCTATGGCTTTGTACCCCTTCCCTACCCAGGCAGTTCTAATTTAGGGAGCACCCGGACTGTAAAGGACAGCAGAGCGGGGAGCACACTTGCCTTTCTCCAAGGTTGGACCCCAGACCCAACGTAGTCGTGCGGTTCAGGAGATAGTTGGGTTTTGTTACAGTTTGCTTTGGGAGGGGAGGTTATTGTGAACAGGCCCCAACAGGCACCGTGTGGGGACACGGAAGACCACTCCCACCACCGCCCCAGACCCGAGCGCCTGGTTTACCCTAGCCATCTCTCCTCCTGGTGTATTCCCCTCCGAAATGAGGCAAGTGCTGAACACCACAGGTATCGAGCCACCTGAAACGTGCTGGGAGGAGTCTCCCACAGCTCAGCCCTGGGCGCCCCTACAGCCCCTAGTTGTCCGCTGCGGCCTCAACCCCTGCAGATGGCAGTCTGCACCACAGAAAAGCAACTTTGTATCCGCCCCCCCCCACCTCCCCGGCTGTAATTGGACTCAGGCTGGAACAACCACGTCCCCACAAGGAAAGGAGGGCGTTGGGGCGGGGACGGAGGAGAGGCTGCGGGAGAAGGGAGGGACCAAAGGAGAGAGCGGAGCAGCCTCCCGGCCCACTTCGCCGACTAAGCAGAAGAAAGATCAAAAAACGGAAAAGAGGAGAAGAGCAAACAGGCACTTTCAGGAACAGTCCCGTCGCCTCCAAGCCGACCGCGCTCTGGGGATCAAGTTCGGCGCCTCTCGGAGACAAAGGCGCCCGCGGGAGCGGCGCGGACCCCAGGCGCGGGCTCCGCCTGGAGCCGCACGGCCGGCTCCCCGACGTCTCGGACCATGTCTTCCGCCCCCCGCGGCGCCCGCAGCCTGCTGCTCCCCCTGCTCACGCTCGGC